GTAAAACCGTAAACAGATAAAGGTGCAAGTATTAATGTAAGTTTTAATAAAAATGCAAAACAGTGGAATGAATCGTTTCAATCGGTGAAACTGGAAAATACGGACCAGATTTTTTTTTTAAAAACTGGATCGGCAGTCTGGATCGGCATTTTACATGCTTTGCCGATACGCATTTTTTTGCCAATATCGGCGTCCCGATCCGATCCACGTATCGGATCGGGACAAGCCTAATATATATATATAATGCCATCTAGTGCAACTCCATTCTACTTTTATGTCTGAATGCTTTGGGTACTCCATGCATCCCTATGGCTCCATTCACAAAACCATATCCTTTTACCTCTCCTGTTTATTCTCCACACTCCAGCTTCTTGTAAATTAAATTCTTTACAGACCTATTATTGTTCTGCATTTGTACTTACTTACATACAAATTGAAGCATTCATGGAGGAGTGCAGAAACAATGCCCTGAACATCAGGTCGAAGGAAAACAGTCACCAAAATGAGACGTTATTTAACAGGCAGAATGGTCTAAGCATGAATTACATTTGAGAGCAAAAATAAACAGAGCATTACAAGACATTTGCTCCATCTTTAAATGCCAACTAAAATTATTCATGCCCTAGTCAGGATATCAGACACCAATCTATCCCCTGCATTGCTGTGAAACTCTGAATGCAAATGACGGCGGTTCGTCGAGGAATGGCCGCAGGCTCTGGGCGCCCTGTGAAAATGACCTCATTAAGACAGTGATTGAATTTAAATGACACCACCGCTGCAAAAACGGACGCTGTTCAGGATGTAATGTAAAAATAACAAAAGTTCACTCTCAGAGGGCACTTTTCACTCTCTCGCACACAATGGGATTTCATTCTCCTGCATCTGATGATGTTATGAAAACATCTGTCAGTCTGCTGCTCATCATGTGAGCTGCTCCAGATTCACTGCATACTGATAATCTGTAAAATGACTCCTTGTGTGGCCTCAGGAGGAAAATCTTCTGCTACTATCATGTTGTATAAAGTAGGTCTGTTCCATAAACCTTTCATGATATTATTGGGCTATATGCAACCACAGATAGACTACGCTTCTAGCTAAGACCTTTAACTAATCAGGGAGTTTTTCAGACCACCAAGGTAAATTAAATCAGGGAATTATTTAGCTTTTTTTTCTGCTTACTGATGTCACAATTGGTTATGGTTAGTTGACCCGAAAGCAGAGGCAGGGAGGCAGATGTGAATTTCTTGTGGATTTAATGATTAGTAAACTGAGAACAGAGGCAGGTAATCCAAAAATCCAAATATGAAAAACAAATTTCAAAAACAAACAGGAATCCAAAATCCAAAAGTGAAAAAAGAGTCCAAACTAACTGGAAGCCAGGAGTCCAAAAATCCAAAAATTAAAACAAGAAAACAAGTCAAGACGAACCAGAAATCATGGAGACATCAGGGGGATCGCTATCACAAGTAGAAAGGCTTAAAGAGATGAGTGGGAGGAAGTTTGACGAGGACCCAGCAAAGAAGAACAGAACGGAGAGAGTATTTATAGGAGACTGAAACAAATAGAGGGCTAAAGAGCAGACTGGGAGCAGGTGTGCACAGAGCAGGAGAGGAAAAGAGCTAGGGAAAAAGGAGAACACAAGAGGGCAGCAGTGGGCAACAAATAAAAAACCTAGAAAACAACCAGAAAATAACCAGAAAACACAACAAAATAAGAATTAAACAACTAAGACCATTAAACAAGGAGTAAAGCAAAACTGAACACTCAAAAGAAAACATAACAGAACCAAGACTAAGACAGTAATTGAGAAAAAAACAAAAAACATAATAACTAAGAATTAAACCACTAAAACTAGAAAACAAGGAGCAAAGCAAAACTGGATCCTCAAAAGAAAACATAACAGAACCAAGACTGAGACAGTAGACTGAGAAAAAAACAAAGAACACAACAAAATAAGACTTAAACCATAAAAAACTAGAAAACAAGGAGCAAAGCAAAACTAAACATCCAAAAGAAAAACATAACAGAACCAGAACTCTAACAACTGAATTTTGTTGGGAAGCAAAGAAGAGCAATGGAAATATTTCATATTGATTCTAACATGTTAATCCACACCATGCTAAAGAAATGTGTATTAATCACCTCTCTCTGAAGTGTTGTATGTGTAACTGAATCGTTTCTGTCCTTTAGACAAAGGCCATCCACCCAGACTGCGCTGTGATAGTGCAGCACATGAAGGCTAAAGAAGACTGCTATCATATGCTCGAACAAGAGGAAAACAACAACTCTTCCAAAACAGGTTGGTGTATTTTTATTTGGCTTTTGGGAAGCAGAGCTTATTCAAAAATAATAGAGAACCTCTAATTTGTTTGTCACGTTGTAGATAAGTAACAACAAGGAAACCAAATCCAAAGTTCCCCTTTTGACTGATATACATTTAATGTAATTCAGTTCAACCAGTTGCTTTCTGTAGCTGGCTAAATAGTAAACCCAGACAACCTGTGGCTTTTTTGGGGGTATTTAAACAGCTGTTATATGAAAGTGTCAAAGGAAATTGAGGAACAAACAACATCATTAAGAAAAACACCAACCATACTTTGGAGTGGGTCATGTTTTAAATACTGCATTTGGATGATTAGTAAACAAAGAAAGCTGCAATGATTCTTTGAAGCAAGATTTGGTCTTACTTTGAAAAATAATATAACATCATGTAATATTTCTAACATTTAGAATTTTTTTTTCATTCTTACAATTTATAAATCCAAAATATTTTTGAATAAGAAAATATTGAGGATTTTATTTAGCATAACTTTAAATGCAATTCATAACAGATCCATATAAACCAACTGATATCTCAAAGAAAGCAACAGCTTGTTAGTTGAATGAAGTAACGAGCAGAAAGTAATTGGAACCTCTACTACTTGGTAGTGGCCAGAACTAGGGATGCACGATATTGGGATTTTGGCCGATATCCGATATGCCAATATTTTAAAACTCATGTAG